TAATAGTCACCTGCACACACAGATATCCCCCTAAAATAGCTAAAACTAAAAACAAACTAAAAACTACTTCCAAAAACATTCCGCTTTGATATTAAAGAGTTTTTTGGGTTCATTGAGAACATGGTTGTTGTTCAATAATAAAATTATTTCTCAAAAATACAACTTGCCTAATAATTCTGCACTCCCTATATTGCTTTTTAAGAAAAAGATGTGTTACTGTGATGATTATCACAATTTCAACAAGTCAGGTGGAAGAGCCACTGACACACGCGTCTTCACCCTCTCATAGCCTACCCGGAAGTTCAGAGAGGCATTTTTTGAAAAATTTATTGATAGCAATGTTGAATATTATTTCACAGGAAAAAAAAACCCCAGCTACATGTAAAATAATCACACCATGACGCCTCTGCATTTCTTAATGGAGGGGCAGTAACTGCGTGTGTATATGCAAGTGTGTAAAACCTGAAGACAGTCAGATTAACAGTATTTTGTCTCTATCTGCCATTCTGCAATTCATCTCATATAAACAATAACATGGCGCACAACGTGACGTGAAAAAAGGCACATACCTTTGACGTTGCATTACGAACTTCCTCTTCCACACGTAAACGCAAGAAAGGAGTTTTTAAAAAAATCTTCATTTGGAGGTGATTCGAAACGCAGTTTACGTGTGAACGAAATGCCCAACGCATAGAAACAGCTGCGTTTTCAAAAATACCCGTGTAGGTGTGGACATGGCGTAAGAGAGTTAGTAATGTATTTTATTACTACCTTTAATTTATTGCAGATTACTGTTACTTGTTTAATTGTTTACTTAATGTTTGAGGTGTGAAATAAACCGCAATGGAGTTTGAAAACAAAATATGGGCGTGTGTGGTTGGAGGATGTGTTTGTGCAGGGGGGGGGGAACATTTTTCTTGTAAAACAAAGGGGGGCCAAGCAAAAAAAGTTTAGGAACCACTGACTTAAACAATACCATGTGGTTTCCCTATTAGCCTAATTTTAAAATAGTTTTCAGTATAACTAATTGTTATGACAGAGTTTAAAAGAACGCTAAGAAAGCTTGCTAAGCCACAGTTACAGTAGTAGTGGTCAGAGGGCCCGGTGGCGCCAGTGTCCGGCAGCCTCGCCTCTGTCAGTGCGCCCCAAGGTGGCTGTGGCTACAATGTAGCTTGCCATCATCAGTGTGTGAATGTGTGTGTGAATGGGTGGATGACTGGATATGTAAAGCGCTTTGG